CAAATCAACGTCGCGTTCCTTTCTTTCTTTCTTTCTTTCTTTCTTAGTGTCTTTCTTTCTTTTTTTTTTCTTCGTGCATTACCTTGGTGAATTATCTTCATGGTACTCTTTTTGGAATGACTTTGGCCTGCGTTGGAAATGCGACACGTTCGACGAGGCTGCTGGCGCCAAGTAGAAAGCACGTGTCTCGCGCAAATGGAGGAACAAGTCGAGCTGTAAGATATGTAGGTGAACAATGTTTTGATCCCGGTGTTTGAGAGTTTTCAGATCGTGGTTACGGTTTCTGGAGTCCCGCGGCGCACGTTCGAACATTTCGAGGAAATACTTTATGGATAATTACGTGTACGCCAAGAGAAGAAATATCGCGCGACAGCTTTATCTCGAAAGATTTCGTTGAACTTGAACATCGTAAAACAACGAAGCTTTTTCTTCTTTATCGGTGCCAAAAAAACGAGAAACGTCATTTATTTTCTTGATGGACAGTCATTTCCCTTTCAATTTTCACGTTTCATTAAAATTGCTAAATCTTAGACTGCGGATGTATAAACACCATTTTCTTTAGAAATATTTTTAGGATCCTCGTAGTTTGCTTTTAAGGAAGCTAGTAACTTTGAATGTGCTTTGTTCGCCAACTTTTCTTTCTCTCTTTCGATGATAAGATTGCTCGATCAACATCCATAAATAAATCCCAAGGCTTGTCATCACGCACATGCGTGCTATCTTCAATTTTTCGAAGGTAATTCTTTTCTTTTCAAGCTTCGTGAATATTGAAAACTATTGCAAGTAACAAATGATAAGTAATAAATGAAAATAGTTAGATTATTCTAGGTAACAATTAATTTCGTTATTCGAATTAATGCCCAAATCGCGAATTAATTAATTCCACTTTCGTTTAAATTCTCAAGTGGTAAACAATTTCATCGATTAGTCTCTGTACAATATATTTAAAGAGTTACGTGGTATAATTATAAAGGGAAGAATAGTTAATTAACTAGTTATTTAACTAGAAATTGATCGAAACAGTGCTTTTCCAGGTGTCTTTCCAAAAACTCGCGCGTAAAAGATCGCGGTCGTGAAAACGGCGGGGGCCAGGGAAAATCCCCTTAGCGTGCTCTCGGAGCATCGTCGTTTAATCGTCGGATCATGCAAGTTTCCAGCCGTCGAGTCAGCTCTTCGGCGTGGAATCTCCGGCGATTTGTTCGAATCCCGGTGTAATCCGGTCGTCGCGCCACGACGTTTTCTCGTTCGTGGCGGCTGTCTAAAGGTCGCGTCGTTATTTCGCCAGCCAGCGAAATGTCGAGCCTCTCCCCTGGCCCCAGTCATCATTCCCATAGTTACGTCCAACCTCGTAAGCCAGCCGACGATGCCTCGCAATATTCGCGAGTAAAATAACTAACCTAGGTTCTATCGGGCCAATAAAATTATTTATAAACTCGATCGAGTGATCAAACGTACCAACGTCTGGTTAAAATTTGATTTACAATGCATTCTTTCGTTCGCGTTAAAAAAAAGAAAAAAATAGATATAATTTTCCTTCTTACTATCCGAAAGTTGTTTGGTTTGGTGTTGACATTTCCCTAAATCAAATTGACAGTTGCCTGTTCTTGTTCCTCTTGTAAAGAGATCTGACCGGCTACGATTTGGTGTCAATTTATTCGTAATAATTTATCACTCGATCAGTGAAATTTATTAAATGTTACATTATCAATTCATTCGTGATGATTGATAATAATTTATTCAACGAAATGAAAAGACTTTTCGACCCAACGACACTCGACCAGAGGTCCGAGTACGCGCATCTTCCGGTGTATCATTTTTTATTATCTATCTATCACCTGTAGCAGTTTCCAATTAAATTTCCAACACGTTGCATGGCCCGTCCGTCTTCGTTCCACCTTGAATCACGACGTTTTCCGGTTAAAGTACTCGATATTCCCGGCGCGATATTCGTCTCCTTCGAAGGGAGAAAAGAGGAAGCCGGAGAGAGAGAGAGAGAGAGAGAGAGAGAGAGAGAGAGAGAGAGAGAGAGAGAGCGGGAAACGACACACAGTCTCGAATCTAACGCCGTTCCTCGTAAAGCGGAACGAATCGCCTCGTATAAAATAAAAGGGGACAGATTAACGGCCGTGAACGTGAGGGGCCTGCTCTCTCGCGTGTGCATGCATTAGACGTGTGCACGACCCTCCCACGCGCCGCCGCCGTCTCCTTCTCTCCCCCTCGAGATCTCTTTCCTCCCTCTTGCTTCCTGTTCGACGCTTGGAGAGTATCACGTGTTCCCGCGAATTTAATTGCCTCCATAAATATCGCGGAGCCTTCCATGCCCGAGCAACGTTAAAATACGACGGAGGATCGAGGTCCTAACCCCTTCTCTCCTCTTCCCTCTTCTCTCGTCTCTCGTCGCTCTCTCCTTCTTTCTCGTTCTCGCGCGGCTCTTCTTCCCGCTGGCGACTCAATGATCCCGATGGGAGAGAAAAAGTGGTTCGGTCTCTCGTCGGAATGGTAGATGATTACGATTTGGAGCGCGGCGGTATTTGATTGGTGACGCGCGGTTGAATCTCTGTTACGACGAGAGAGTTTGTTATTTTTCAAATATCTTTCTTACCCAAACCGAACAAGCTAGGTCTCACAGACTCGTATCCTTCGATTTTTTATTCTCACTTGTGTTTAGATTGACGACTTTCTCTTTTCTAGACACTCGGAAAAAATTTCGAAACGGTGTTGGATTCCGTGTAATGGAGTCAACACGCTTACAATTTAGAAGAGATTAATTCCCTTACAGTCGTGGTCGTGTACGAAATAAAATGATATCGAATGATTTACAATGTTTAATGCTCTTGAATATGATGTAGAATGATTTAGAATGTTTTATGCTCTTAATGATATAGAATGTCTCTATAGAACGATTTAGAATGTTTTACGCTATCGAATGTCTCTAAAGCATGTCCTTATATATATATTTGGTTATCATCGTCAAGTGGAAGGGGAAGAAGCATATAGATGACCAATTACTGGATTTTTCCCTTACGACTAACTATTCACAGTCCACTTTTATGTGGACTGTTGCTAGCTCATTGTCAGTATTTGCATGGATTCAATATTGTTCAGGTTGATCATCCAACGGTTCGAAATATAATTGCTCTTACATCTGTTTATATTTTGTCTTCTTGATTGGCCATATATGTGTATATGAGCAAGATCCGATGAGCAATATATATACATTTTACGATCCGTATATTATTATTCTCGAGCGATCGAAATTAAAAACTCGGAGCGACACATAAACACGACGGCCAACTCTAGCGGAATTCCAGCGATTCGCGTTCTTTTCGCGAGTACTTTATGATCGCGTTCGCTCACCTTCCACCGCTTCCGTTTGTCCGGGACACGTGCTGTTGCCAAGAAATGGCCAAGACCAGTTCTCTCTCGCTTCGATTTCCGTTTCGCGGAACCTTGACGGCCGGAAACCTCCGCGAATTTACGTACTCCATATGCTCCGAATGAATCGTTAACCTCCTTCTTCTCCGTCATTCCACCATTCCATTATTCCGCAATTCCTGCGCTCTGAAATTTTGAAACATTTCGTTTACTTTTATCTTTGTTAAGTTTAATTAAACATTTGACGAGTAACGAATTGTTTATATTAAATATTGAGAAGAAATCTGTAGTAGGTTGTGATTAACTATGAAATTCTATTTCTCAATAATACATAATTATTGGGAATTACGGGTAAAAGAAATGATTTTACTTTTACTATCCTAGAACTTTTTTTATCCCAGAACTTTTCTCAAGTGTCGAAGAGGGTATAAGATGCACTGGACTCAAGTCACCTAATTCTTTATCTACAGAGCCTCTTCACGTGCATATTTCTCCAAAGAGATTGATTTTTGTAAATACGTTTAAGACGTTCTTATTATTTATTTATTTATTTATTTCGACCATTCTCGGCCATGAAATAGGACTTGGTTTACATTCTATTCTTACTCAACACTCATTCTTCCACACTGTCGTCCCATTCGCCGCCTTTTTCATTACTTCTCCTCGCTTTCTTTTCCCTCCTTTTCTTCTCCACTTCCGCTAGCCATCTTCACACTATCTCCTCCTCACTCAGCTCAGCACTTTTCAATTTCGTACACTTCTTTAGCAGATGCCTCAGTGTTCCCCTGCTTCCTTCACACGGTATACATCTCCTACTTTCCTCTTCCATCCAGTACTATATCCTATTCTCTTCCTTCAAGTTTCCGCACCTGGCTCTCGCAATAAGTTTCTGACTATTTCCTACCCCTGCCTTATTTAAGCACTCTGGCTAAGTCCAACCACTAACCCTGATATATTTATATCTACGGTTATAGGCTAGACTTGGATTTTCCTATATTGCAATTGCCCCTGTACTCTACTCTGATTGTGTCTGTTATATTGCCGTTCCCTATCGGTTAACACTTTATTGACCGGTCGTGGTTGAGGCTGCCACTCAGTAAGTACTGGCTTAGTCGCGCCCGAATTTACTCCCAGTACCGGCTAAATTTTCACTATGCATTGTGTTGTGCTTATTCCTTTTGTTTTAAAGTAATGGAATTTTATTGATATTTATACTTTATTTTGTATTTGTTTTATACAATTTATTGCCTTTTTAACTTACATTCATGAAATAAATTCAAGGTAACAGTAATTAAATTTTTTAATATTTATTTACAGTGTGGTATCTCTCGTAACAAAAGCAATCGAAAAGCCGATAAATAGGCTACCGGTCGATGAGCGTTAGGAATCGAAAAGCCGATAAATAGGCTACCGGTCGAAGAGCGTTAGGAATCGAAAAGCCGATAAATAGGCTACCGGTCGATAAAGTGTTAAGACGTTCTTATTTTCGACAGTAATTAATAAAAAGAAAAGAGAGAGAGAGAAAAGAAAAGAAAGGAAGAAAATAAATGAAAGACGAGTGGAAATAATGAAAAGAAAAAGAAAAAGAAAAAAAAAAAAAACAAACGAAAATGATTCTGTTGCAGCGAGGTGTGCGTGGACGAGGGCCAGCAGTTGTCGCTGGCGCACGGATGTCAGTTCTACGAGGTGAGCGCGGCGGAGAGTCCCGCGGGAGCGGCACTCGCGTTCCAGGCGCTCCTCCGAGAGGCAAGGTCCGTGCAGCTGCTGAGAGCGCTGCCGATACGACGGAAGTTGGGCGTGCACTCGGTCTCGAGGGTGCTCGGCACGATTTTCGGCAAGAACACGACGAAAGATCGGAAGAAGAGGCCCTCGTTGAGCATATGACGCCTCCTCTGCGCCCTCCTCCTCGGAGGTCGTGACGAACCCGACAAGAGGAACGACGTGGTTGTTCTCACCAGCAACGTCTACTCCAATCGTTGACGAGAGGACATCTCGAGAAATCGTCTGACCAACGTGAAAACCAGTCAGTCACACAGCGACTTGATCCTCCTCTCCGTGAAACAGGAGAATTATGCTTTCGGTGTTCTCTGGACGCGACACGCGGTTCTTCGTTCCTGTTCGAGATCCTCCGAGCCGGAGGAACGTTCGAACGTTGTCTGGCGAACAGGTAAAGGAGAAAGGTATACAGTAGAATTTTTGTTTGTTTATTGAATCGAAGGAAACGTGGGTGAAAGTATTCGTGCGAGTAATCGAGGTTTCTGTGATTAATTGGACAGCGTCTGTCGTAGCGTGTTCGAAAAGTTTACAGACTGATGAAACTGAAAATATAAATATTATTCTGGAGTTTAACAAAATTTTATTAACCTTTGAAAGTTTTCGTTTTCAATTTTTTTTCTGTTCTTTTTTTTTTTTTTTTTTTTTTTTCCTTATAAAAAGATCGAATGTTTGAACAAAAAAAGTTCAATTACGAATGTTATTATAAACTCATTTGTAAATCAAATCAATTAAGTCTCATTGTAAAAAACTCAGTCTGAGAATTTTCTTGAACAGACCGCGACTGAGGTTATGGTCTGAACTTTTGATGAACTGTTGTCCCGAATTGCCTAAAAATTGAGATGCACGTATAGTGATAAGCAGGAAACGGATCTTTGCGCGTTTATGGAAAATTGGACCAAAAACTATACGTTGACACGATACGTGCAATGCATAAAATCATATGAAACATTTAAACTAGAATATTTATTAGAACATTTAGTAGGAGTAAATTTCTCTTTCTTCAGTTGTGTTTCCGAGTGTTTAGAAAACGCGTCTAAAATCTGATCATGAGAATCTATAATTAACATATGTTTGATCGCTCTGGCGTATTCGCTGGAACAACAGTTCGTTAAAAATCACAAGACATCGAACCCAACAATAACCCGCGAGTTACCATAACTAGCGAGTGAAGTTCCCCCTGCAAATAGTTAAGATTGCGATCACGATCGAGATTTATTACTGTATATTATCATCCGGAAGAAATTTCGCGAAGAAACGAGGAAAAAGAGAGTGTCCATTCTGAGCGAACGAGTGCAACCATTTGATCGAGACTGTTCGTCGTCGGATAGAGGGAGTGTGAGGGTGCAGAAGGCGTGCATCTGATAAACACCAGAAACACCGTTTCACGGTGTCTCTATGAACTTTTTTTTTCGGGAGTTCGATCGGAAAACGAGAGAAAATACGTCGTCCGTCTGGGAAGAACTGAGTCTACATGATCTCGCGCGAGATTCTCGCATATCTAGACACGTTTTCGTTTGATATTCAACGAGAAAACACTTGCGAGAACGATCGGCGAATCGCGGATGATCGCTTCTGTGAAAAGACTGTCGCGAGCGTTGAAAATTGCGACCAATTGCAAGAAAGAATACTGACGATGATGCTTTTATTTCTCTCGGTTTTTTCCGTTTTTCCCCCCTCCCTCTTTTTATCCTCTTGTCGATCTTTCGATTGAATCGAAAACGTATTTGTTCCTTTATTACGAATTTATTTATTTTTCCAATTCTCTTCACTGTAATATATGTAGAAATACAATAGAACTGAATTGGAAAAATGAATAAATATATATATATAACATATTTGCTACAAATATTACAATATTAATCAGTGATCGACGAAGCATCGACAAAATTCATATTCAAACCGAATTTTATAAAGTATATTAAACACGATCGAGAAATATTCTGTTTATTCGTTTCATGTCTTGCGCAGGCGTTGAAATCACCAACTTCTGCTTCGTGCTCGCGACAATCGTGTAGCTTCTCGCGTAAACTTTAGAAATTTCGCTTGATCTCTCGCCAGTGTCTTGTCTTGCAACGACGAAAAATGATCGTAAAGGCTTAATAAATGGTAATTACCATTTCACGATCGTTATAGAGTGTCGTTATGCACATAGTTATTAAAGGAAAACGACGGATTAATGTCTGACGATATAGAGATGGATGTCCGTATTAAATTATAATTGATAATTTTCATATACGTGTGACGTGTATGTGGAAGGAATTAGGAGACTCTGACTACCTACTTCATTGCTTCCGAATATTTTCTTTTCGCCAATAAGCGAGTAGAGATAATTGGGAAATTAAATATTTTATAGGTAGCATTTTCACGAGTATCGTTTCACGAATGATTTGTTTCGTAATTGAAGATTTAACCACTCCTCTAAATATAGGACAGAACGATTGAAAGAATGTTTCCATTTAAATATTAAAATATCCTAAGGTACTCATGATGGCGATAGTCCAATTCTTTTTTTTTTTTTTTTTTAATACTTCAGTCTGAATCTTGTTTAAAATATTTAAATCAAGTTCAATCCTGCTTTCAAACTGAATTGAAACTTCTGTAAATAATTCTGGTGTGAAACTCTTGAATCGCGAAACGAGACGCGTTCTCCGTTCTCGAGATCGAACTTTCGGCTTCCGTGTGGAATCGATTCGACAACCTTAATGTTCCTACTGAAAGTAGCCTAAGTGTACATAGCGCACATACATACATACATACATACATACATTCGCCGAGTGTCGGACTCTCGAGAAGTGGCTCGAGGATTCGATCGACGCATAGATTCGTAAGTTGAAACGAAAATGAGAAACATGAAGTATGGTCCAATAAGCGTGACGGGCCGATCGTCACGAAGCTCTTAGGCTCTCCTAGCCACTTGTCGAGCTCAGTGTAGACGTTTCGATCGCTCTCGGTATCACTTTTGAAACACGTCGTGTTCCCGTCGATTTCTATGCACTTTTTTCAAAATATACACGCGGAACACGCGTAATTTCTATTTCCTTAAATTTCGAATTTAATTTTAAATTTTAAAAAAATTTGCGTAAATATGTGCAATTTAAGAGGCGAGCCGTTCCGTGCAAAATTGGCGCAAGCAGTTCAATTTCGCGCATAGCGAAGGATGAAAGTGCAATAATGTGTCATTTTAGTGCAAGCTGTTGTAAAATTATAACTTGCAGAAAAGAGAACGAGAGTCAAGTTTTGAACGAAAGAAACGTAGCGTTAAATGAAATCAGGCGAAATATAAACTTGCACTATTTTCAGTATCAAGCAAATTTGAATTTGCTTGATAAAAATTGAATTTGTTTCGTATTATTGCAATAGGCGAAAAACAACGCCGATGTAATGAAACTATGAATTTTTATATGCTCATGAAAAGTGGAGAGAAAGACAGAAATTGTTAAAGTATACATTCGTGAAAGGTATAATTACGAAAATGAAAAGAGAGAAAGGCAAAAGTTAAATTAAAGAATTATTCACTGCATGAGAATCGATAAAATTCAGGTAAAAAAAGTTTCGTATCGACTTGGATCTGACTGTGAGAATTCGCATTAAATTAAAGCGACATTGTTTCGTCACTCTGAGTTCAATATCTAACTAGGCTAGGAGAAATTTATCTCGTCGATCGAAATGATAATTCGACGAACTCGTATTCTCTGTTGCGAATTCGCGTTACCGTTTCGTTTTCTCTCGGCGACGAAACGACCGCCGGTTACACGCGTTGGTCGCATTTTCTTTTTTCTCATAAAAAAGAAAAGAGGAACAACAGTAAAACAAAAGAAAAAGAAAAAAAGAGTGAAAGAAGATGGGTCGTTTTCTTTTCTACGGTTACTAAATACGCGAAGAACTTAGCTCGAGTTTTTAAGATTACTTAAGCGTAAGTTACACGTTGTACGTATAATTCTTTCAGTGCCTTTTATATTGTCTCCAGTTCGAGAGTTGGGCGTACGAGAGTGTCATTTCGCCTCGCCGGTGGACCTTTCCTCCCTCTTTCTTCTGTTATTTTTACATTTCACATTCTTACATTTACGTGTATCTCTAGATACTTTTCTACGCGTGTAATTTCAATTTTTCTTTTCAACGATGTCCTCCTTTCTGTTTCTTTTCTTTATCCGGCAGAAGTATCGTTCGATTCGTCGTTCAAATCGTAAAAAAGAAAGAAAAGAAAAGAAAAGAAAAGAAAAGAAAACGCAACGATATATAAGTGGAACGATAGACAGATACTTAGAAAGAAAGTTGGCGTTAACGATGAAAGAGACGGGCGACACAAAAGGAGGAAGAGGAGGAAGATTCGTTGGCGAGGCACGTAACCGAGGGATGAAAGTATTTGCTTCCAGAGTGTGCCTAAAAGAAAAAAGCAAAAAAAAAAAAAAAGAAAAAAAGAAAAAATACCGATACATTCCAAAATGTGTGAAAATCTACGAGGTATACATACTTATATGTATGTATGAAACGCGAGGCGTGAGTGTGTCGTGCGATTTTCCGAATTCTGGCCGAATATCGATCGCTGTATTTTAAGTGCTAGTCACTTGTTATCGTGAATTGAGAAAGAATAAAATTCTTTTGTTAAATCGCCGGGAAATATTGAATTTGCCTGCCCGGCTCGTTTATTTCCTTCTTTCGCTTCCATCTTTCGTCCAACGTCAATTGTGACGTTTCTTCGCACTTGTACAAAGTTCCCAGCGAGTCTCCAACTTTTCTGTACGTTTGATTCATTAATTCGATTTAAGTGAATTTATTGGATTTATTCCTACATTCCAACATTTATTCTTACATTCTCTTTCTTCTCCAATTTTTCCATATACTTGATTTATTAATTTGACATTGGATTTATTGATACGATTTAGTTTAATTTGTTGTTTATTTTTAATATTTTCGTAGTTTGTACAGAAAATGAAGAATTCCAGGCTGTAAAAAAAAGAAAAAAAAAAACAACAAGGAAAAAATGCCACGATTTTTCACGATCTTTCAGATTCAAATGGAAACATGCTATCTACTGGAGGGTTAAATCCGTTTCTACTTCGTATCTGAAGAACGTGCACTTTTCTGCGCGATTCAAAGGAGCCACTTTCTCCTGGATCGGCGATTCGTGAAACACAGATCTGTTAGTTTGTTGAATGGGTCGTAAGACCACGTGTTCCTTCTCTCTCTCTCTCTCTCTCTCTCTCTCTCTCTCTCTCTCTCTCTATTCAATTTAATTTAAGAGACTTGCATCCGCTGAGACAATGCTTCTTCGAGGGAATTGATTCACGGTCGACTAGAGAATTCTCCCATCGCGGTAAGTAATGAATCGTTATTTCGAATTGCAAAGAATCTTTGTGCGTTGGACGCGCACATAAGGGGGAGTTACTTTCTCCCGGGACGCAGGTTTCAGAGAGGCAACTCTTATCGTTTGAGGAGTCCCCGTGGGAAACAGTGCAAGTGTTGGCAAGGACCGAATCTTCAAATCCATCGCAGACTTAATCGTAAAAGGAATTTTTCAATATTTTTATATACTGCGACAAAT